TAAGTGAATCTCTTTAACGTGATTTACAACATGTGTGATGAGTTCTGCTGATTCATGTTTTGTTGGCTATTCTTCCGTTGTCATTCTGCTGTGTCACTAAACTGCAGAGTAATTCATCCGTTGATAAATCCGGCTTCTGTGAATCTAATCATCATCAGAGGAAACTCACTTTTAAAACTGAAAACAAAAATCGTTCCTGAATAAATAGGAACAGGTTTGATGTAAACGTTATTGTTTGAAGATCTTTTCCTATCGTGATATGTTTCGTTAAGAATTCTATTTGTATCAGTGTTATTATTATTGTTTTATTATTATTCTCATGAGTCAGTCCCGGCTGTCAATCATGTCGTCCAAACCCAATTGTATATCATCAAATAACTAATGAAAACCTAGTTTGGTCCATGTCCCGTCTGCTAACGTGGAGAGGGCAGAGTTTATGAACTACACTGCAGCCAGCCACCAGGGGGCGATTGAGACTCTGGCTTGACTTTTGAGAATCGTCATGTCGTCCATCTTTATTTAAAGTCTGTGTTTGATAAAAGAATCTGACTGATGGATTTTTGGGCTCCGATCTCGATGTTCAGGGGTAAAAAAACGATATCGGCCGATAATCAAGATAAAAAAACAAGTATTCTTTGATTCAGATGATTATTTCAAACCAACGGGACACACTGCACCTTTACATCAGTTTGTTGAAGTCTTCTTAAAGGTGTGACACGTTCTTGTCGCTCCTCAGACGCAGTCGCGTGTGTTGTGATCGACAGGAAGCTTTGTTTCATGCTGACGCTGCTCAGGAGCTGCTCGTTGCCATGGAACCGGCCGACAGCACAGATCTACGCTGAGGGTCATTGTGATGTAAGTGCTGCTGCAGCTGAACCTGTGTCTGATCAGAGGAATCACATTTACTTCATGTTGACACATTTCAATAAAAAACCATGAACCTGGATTTATTTTACAGAAAACACTTGATGATGATGATTAAATGCAGAACCATTAACAATAACATGTTCACAACTATTCTGATATCACTCAGAGGGCGTCTCGATGGGAAAGTTAGAGTCCGTGTCAGCTCCTGTGACGCTCACTTATCCTAATTAAAGCACAAAGGGCAGAATTAACCAGACACTAGAAATCAGATCCTTCTACCAAACATCACATATTTTACACATTCTAAAAACCTGCTCTACATTCACCGGAGAGACAGAGACAGAAAGTTTAGAGGAAGGACAATATGAATCTGTTGAAAGTGTTTAAAAAGAGGAAACTGGGTTCAGTGAAAAACATCTTTTCAGAAATAACTTTTATTCTCCCTCTTTCATAATTTAATCACATTTGAACTCAGTTGAAATGAGGGGATGTGGTGTTCGGATGACGACCATTAAACCATCAACCACAGCACAACCATGAAGCTATTATCCCTTTGTGTTGGTCTCCATGGTTACCCTGTCAAAGACTCAGCTGATCGTCAGCTGTCTTTTGTCGTCGTGTTTGTCGCTGGCCTCTCTGGCCTCCTCGCTCTCACTCTGATTTGAACCTGCTCTGTACATGTTGGCTTTGTGTTTCAGTGCAGATGGAGATGTCGGCAGCAGGAAACCCAGGGACTGGACGCCAGCAGCGCTCGGCGAAGAGGAGGAGGTGGGGGGGTCTGAGGCAGCAGTGGAAACTTCTGGGCCTGTTTGAGATCGATCAGCAGCACGAGTTCTACAGCCTGACCTGCATGATGAAGGAGGGGCTGTCAGCCGCCATTCAAAACACCAGCAGCAGCAGCGCAGCCACAGTGAGTGAATCATCATCAGCGACACATCACAGTCATAATAACAAGAGGATCACAGGCGCAGAAAATGTGTTTGATCCAAACATAGAAAATACAAACAGCTTCTGTGTCGAAGTGTTCAGTTATCATCAATACATGTTTCTCACCTGATGTGAAGTGTTTAAGTGTTTAAGACTGAACCACAGACATGCTCACATGATCCTGACGTGCTCCTCACATGTGGTTCTGAGTCAGAGTCTCTGGACAATTCCTGGATCTTCTCCTGCAGCTTCTAGTAAAACATCTGTAACATGTCAGAGTGAGTCCATGTGGGCACGTAGAGGACGAAGACGTCAACTTGGAAAGACGAGGAGGTTCCAGATGTTTTGGTGATGAGGCCCGACGCCGTGTGGACGAGCTGTAAACAACAACACTGATCTTTACACAGCGGAGTTTAGACGCCATGTCCCGCCTCCTGCTGCTCTACAGGCTCCACCCCTCACCTGAATGTCCCCACAAGTTCCTGTTGTTGTGAATGAGTCGCGACTGCTGCTGCACAGGATGAATTCTGGGAAATGTTCATATTCAGTCATTTGACACAAAGTGTTCTCACACTGAATATCTACGCAATATTTTGGACATTTTCTGGAGTTTATGTCTAAAAAGCAGCTTCAGAGCGAATTCACAAATATTAAAGCATCACTATGTAACAGATACTGATCAACAGCGCCCCCTGCAGCTTCACGTGCTGATTAACTCGGTTGTCCTCTGAGCGATGAAATGGTTTCATTTCATTTTGCTGCTCTGATCTTTTAATATAAAATAGCTCTTACATTACTTCACTGTATGACGTCATTTGATTGTGAGGTCACGATGATGTCATTCCTAACGTAACATCGCGACGTCTCACGAACATCCTGAGAGAGTTTCTTCTAAAATGGTTCAAAGTTGGATTGAAGGACGAACTGATTTGATCTCTAAAAGGTCAAAGGTCACTGTGACCTCATGATCTTAAAATCACGTCAAGAGAATTCTTTCAGATTTTTCAACACGTGTTCACTTCATTGATTCGATTTGTGTGGTCACAGGTCAAAGGTCAGTTGTGTAGTTCAGACTCCAGAGCTGAGCAGGAGCCATCGGACGTCCTGCCGCTGCTTCACAATGATCCAGTTCAACTGACTCAGCATGCCTGCCCCCCCCCGACACACACACACACGCACGCTTCACTCAGAACATACAACTGCTTTGTGTTGTTTACATGTGTCACTGTGTTGTAATATCCATTTGTCTGTCCGTCGTCCTCTGTCCTCTGCAGACTGAAGTGTCAGACGATGATTTCAGATCAGAGGTTTCTCAGATTCACAAGGTGAGTTCATGTGTCTGTCACTAGAACTAAACAGCTGTGTGTAATGATCCCACCTGCATATTCAGCTGTGTGTGTGCGTGTGTGTGCGTGTGTGTGTAGGACTTCATCATGCAGACGTTTGCAGGCCCGGTGTTTTCCAGCCTGCGCGGCTCGTTGGGGATGACGGAGCAGGAGTATAAGCAGTCGCTCTGCTCTGACAGCTGCTACCTCCAGTTCATCAGTAACTCTAAGAGCAAGGCCGACTTCTTCCTGACGTGAGCACACACACACACACACACACACACACACACTCTCCTACAGCCTCTACAGAATCAGATGTATTTGAGTCTGAGTGTAGAAAAAGATGGACGACATGAAGTGATGAGGTTCTATCAACATTCTTCTTTATGTTTACCACAAGATGGCGCTCTTTTCTAAGAAACCTTGTTTTCTCGAGGGGCTTTTCATTGGTTGACATCGTCACCATGAAAACACGCTTCATTATTTTAAGTCGTGCAGATTTAAATTTGAATAATTCATTAATATGAATTCAATATAATTACACATTTCATCTGATAACAACTCATCAGTTACTTTTTCTGTGCTTAAAAAGTAAAAGTTGTTTTTAATGTTTACATTTTTTATAGTATATAGAGTAAAGTATATCACAGTATGACAAGTTATAGTACTATACTATATATAGTATATATTATTGTACGGTACAGGATATTTTGATCGGTAAATTATGTAAATATGTGGATGTGAATTTGTAGAAAGAACATCTGGGTTAGGGTGTAAAACATGCCTCGCGTAGATCACGCCTCGCGTAGAACACGCCTCACGTAGACAAGTCTCATATAGAACACGTCTCATGTAGAACACATCTCATGTAGGAAACCCCTCACATAAAACACCCCTGATGTAGAACACGTCTCACGTAGACACGTCTCACGTAGACATGTGTCATGCAGGACACGTCTAGCCGGATTTCTGTAGAAATGTTCTGGGAGTAAAGAACACGGTGGATCAGAGTCTAGACTTTCTACGTCACAGCTAATGTCTGTGTCTCAAGTCATTGTTCAGACTGAGGCTCAGACGTGACTCATGACAAATGTTCACCACTCGAGCAGTCGGCTGTGTTGGTGATTCTCAGACGATCTGATGGAAAAGAAGCTTGTATGTTCAAGGGGTCGGGTCTTGGGGGGTGTTGTCATGGTGATGGGACAGCCATCGACTCACTCTGTGCTTCTGAACTTCTAGAAATGATAAACGCTTCTTTCTGAAGACCCAGAACAAAAGGGAAATCAAATTCCTTCTGTCCAACCTGAAGATCTACACGGAACATCTGAGGAGGTACCCCCATTCCCTGCTGGTCAAGTTCCTAGGTACACACACACACACACACACACACACACACACACACACACACGTTTGTACTTCTATCTTAGTGAGGACACAACAAGCGACGAAGTGTTTTCCTGTGTAGAACAAACAAAGCGTTTCAACGTGTTGAGCTCTGACTGTGTCGTCCCACCGAACATCAGTCACATCTGGTGGAGGAGCTGAAGCTGCAGCAGAAACAGAAGCTGCGGCAGCTTCAGTTGTCATAGTCCAGTCTGAGAGAAAAACCATGGCTGCCTCCGTGGAGAGGACCTGCTGTCAGTATGAAGTATTTAAATATGAAGTATTTGAATATAGAGGGTCGTCCTAGGGTAAAAAAACCACTTTGTACAAATGAAAACATTTCTGAAAACGGGTTGAGATGAAAATGAAATGTTTGTCTCTGGTTGTTCCAGGTGTTCACAGGATCAAAGTCCCACACAGACGGAAGGTGCACGTCACATTTTATTTCTGTCGCCACAACAACAACAACAACAACAACAACAACATCAGTCGTGATAATAACTGTAAATCTTTTTCTCTTTGCAGAAATACTTCATCGTCATGCAAAGTGTGTTTTATCCAGATGATCGGATCAATGCCAGGTGGGTTCCTGTCGTTCCTGTCGTCTAGAAACACACAGACTCGTGTCAGTGCAGCCTCGGGATGTGGCTCGTTGTGTGTTTTGTGTTACCAGGTACGACATTAAAGGCTGTGAGGTGAGTCGCTGGACGGAGCCGGCCCCGGAGGGAGGCCAGATTATTGTGGTTCTCAAAGATCTGAACTTTGAAGGGCAACACATCACACTGGGTAAACGACCGTCTGACATGAACCATGTGCAGACACCTCCGAAGACAAGTCTCATGCTTTCTGAGTCCTATTGTCTCTGTGTGTGTGTGTGTGTGTGTGTGTGTGTGTGTGCGTGCAGAGCGGCAGCGTCCATGGCTCCTGCAGCAGGTGGAGATCGACACAAACTTCCTGCGGCAGCTCAACGTGTTGGACTACAGTCTCCTCCTCGCCCATCAGCCCCTGCAGGACGACGAGCGCCACCAGAGTCTCTCCTTCGCAACTCTCATCGTGAGAACCAAGAAGTCCGTGACACACGTGTCAAGATTGTTTGTAACATTATGGCATTTTGAGAGACAGAGACAGACACAGAGACAGACATAGAGAGACAGACACAGAGACAGACACAGAGACATAGAGAGAGACACAGAGACATAGAGAGACAGAGACACAGAGACATAGAGAGACACACAGAGAGAGAGAGAGACACAGAGAGAGACATAGAGACAGACATAGAGACAGACAGAGAGAGACACAGAGTGAGGTCACCACCATGTTTGTCCCCTGTCCCCTCAGATCTGTGAATCCAGGCTCCAGCCCGGTCCAGTTGGGCGCAGCTGCCGTCCCAGGTGAAGTCCCGCAGGACGACTCCATCTTACTTTTGTCTGAGGGGGACGGAGGATGTTTGAAGTCTCCACAAGCAGGAGAAGCATCGAGCGGCTGCACGCTTCACAGCTGCCCAGAGCCCGCTGAGCCAGGCAGCGATGCCACTGAGCTCCCGGACTTCAGGGCCCAAAACCGACGTCTGCTACCCGACCTGAAGAATCCTCTGCACGTCATCGACGGGCCCGAACAGCGCTTCTTCATCGGCATCATTGACATTTTCACGGTTTACAGTTTCAAGAAGAGGCTGGAGCATTTGTGGAAGAGGCTGAGACACCCGGGCCGCTCCTTCTCCACCGTCAGTCCACAGAAGTACTGCGTCAGGCTCTGTCGGTGGGTTCAGGACCACACCCAGTAGTCTGGGATTCTCAGCTCTGACCTGATTGATGCAGCTTTAACGATTCATGCTTGAGCCCGATGTCTGCAAACACACAATGATGTAACCTGAGTCCAGTGGATAAAGGTGTGAGAGATGAGATGTTTGTCCTGTATCCTTTTCCTCTGATGTCTCACTGCTTCACGCAGACGTCACATCCACCGAGACTAAAAGGTTTTACTCCACGTTTATCTTCAGGCTACGTCCACACCACCACCGTTTAGTTTTCATCAGCTTCAGGTTTGCGTCCACACAGAGGAGGTCAAATGGAGAAGTTAGTAAACGCTGCTGGTCCAGTTTGAGACGTTTGGAAACGATGACGTAGACGCTCTCGTTGTTTGGGTCTTTTCAGCCTCAGCTACGAGTGTAGAACACAACATGGAGAATCAATTACAAGAGTGAGCTCTGTGTTGTATTAAGAAGCAGGTGTTCACATGGAGGAGACCAGATTCATAACTGTGAAAATCACAGTTGTTGTAGTGTTGTTACAGATTGTGACAATCTGTAACAACACTAGAACAACTCATCGTGTCACAGTCTATTTCTGTTTCCTACTCGATCAGGATTCATCTCGTGGCTGGTTTCAGGATAAAATCGGTTTCTATCAGGATGTTTATTATGAGCCAGTTTGAAAAGAGAGGTTCAGTGTGCAGAATGCAGTGACATCTAGTGGTGAAGTGTCATGTTGCAGCTGAACACCCCTGTGGCTCAAAAGGTTTAGTTTGTCCAGTCTGAGCTGCTGTAGAACAAAACATGGCTGCCTCAGTAGAGAGGACCCACTCCTAAATCTAAAGTATTTAAATCTAAAGTATTTAAATCTAAAGTATTTAAATATAAAGAATTTAAATCTAAAGTATTTAAATCTAAAGTATTTAAATATAAAGAATTTAAATCTAAAGTATTTAAATCTAAAGTATTTAAATATAAAGAATTTAAATCTAAAGTATTTAAATCTAAAGTATTTAAATCTAAAGGGCCCGTTCTAAGATAAAGAAAACTACAATTTTTCACAATGTAGATGAAACACTGGTGAAAACATCTCGAGGATGATTTTATATTTGATTTCTTCCAATGGATCCTTTCACCTAAACCTGACAGACTGAAGCTTTAATATCCTGAGGTCTTCAAACATCCACCCTCAGTGACAGTATTTGTCTCTGAGCTCAGTCCAATGACTCAGTAGACTCCCACAGCAGAGGTGTGTCTCGGAAATGGATGTAAACAGAAATGGAGATGCTTGTCTTAGAGCCGAGCATCCGCCACATCCTCATTAGTTCTGGATTTGTTGAGCCGGATTCAAAGAAAATACTCAGAGGAGGTTTTCATTCCTGCTGGTCAGTTGTGTTGTATTGTCGTATATTGGGGTTGCGATGATGTGAAGATGATGAAGGAATCTCCGATGACACCGTCTTGATTGTATAAAATGTTTATATCAATACAAGCACTGCAATCTGCCTATGGAGAGATCTGAAGTCAGTGTGGATCTCTTCTCGAGGCAACTTCAACTCCTCGTTATATAACAGGGTCGTTTTGGTTAATTTAGAGAAAACACATCTGGTTTTCATGCAGCTCTGCTCGTCTGTCAGGTGACAGGGAGAGAGGGCACTAGATAAAAATGTAGTGTAACCCTCAAAACTGTGACCTAATGCCCTATCATACATTCAGGCTTTCTCCAAACTCCTCAGGGCCTCGAACCCAAAGATACATTTCTTTTATGGGGAGGACAACACATAGCATTTCAGACACAGACACTTTCTAAATGCCACATCCCATCAAAACCACTGAGCAGATTCAAACAACCTCAGTAGAAGGACGTGGGTTGAGTCAGAGGTTCTTTTTTTTTAAATGTGGTTTTTAACATTTTCGGTTCATCATTAATTCTTGGATCCTGGTGAAACACCCTTTCGAGGAATGACTTCTGTAATTGGGTGCAGTTCTAATGAATGACATCTGTGTTTTATGATGATAAGTCCCTTTGTTTACAGCTTGTTGCTATGAGGTGGCAAAAAAAACCACCAAACAAATCTCTGTCTCTGATCTTCTTGATCTGTCCACAAAGTCCTCACTAACTCAACACTCTGTATATTTCCTACAAGGTAGAAATGGAGCAGAGATCTCCAGACAAATGTTTGGACGAATTGATTGTGTTTTGATGGTCTGGGCTTTTTTATGACATCAGATCTATTTTTTGCTCAGTGATTGGAATGTAATGATAATGCAAAAGAGGCGTTTCCCACATGCACATGATTCGGTGACAAACCCAGTCAGTGCTCCTCCTCCTCCTCTCTCCACACACACAGTCAGATGAGGCAACTCCTCAGAGAATTCGAGGTGTAGGCGGCTGCTGATATAAGACTGTGCATCTATCAATATGAAGAGGGAGTTCAGAAGCAGCCAGTTCACAGCTGCCTGGAGAGAAACCACACAGACCTGCTGCTGCCATGGGACAGAAACTGAAGGTGCTGCCAGCCGAGGCCTCCTGCGGGGAAGCGGTGATGGGTATTGGCTGGGATGAGCCCGTGGACATCCTCATCAAACACTGCCGGGACATGAAGCAGCAGGAGACGCGCCTCAGGCTCATCTCTCTGCTGCTGCTCCTCGGCTGTTCGGCATTTTACGTCTTCACCACCTGTGCTGAATTGAGGAAAAGAGAACATTCTGGAGTCAGTGAACAAAACGTGAGTTCCTGAACTTTTTCCTCTTGTGCAAAGTTTATCTGAGAGTTTTGGCTGCGACTGCTCGTAGGAGGGTGGGAATCCCCCTGAAGGACTGTTATGTAATATGATGGCGAGTAAATAGTATGTAAATATAAATAGTAAATTGTATATTCTTCGTATATATAAGTCTATATACACATATTTATACATGTGTACATGTTATTATTATTATATCATTACTACTACTATGATTATTATTATTATATATACTGTGTCTGCCATTATTACTATATACTGCTATTATATTGGTATAATTACTATCTATATAAATATATATATTGTTATATTATATACTATGTATACTGTACTATTTTTATATACTGTCTAACAATAACATTACCATTAACCCTAACCCTAACCCATATTGCCACTGCACGTTATCTTATCTACCTATTGTGTTCTATCTTGTGTTCCTGTTTTTATTCTTTCTACCTCAATATTTTATTTTATTCTATTGTTCTGTATTTTATTGTATTCAAATATACCGGCTGCTCTGACGACTTAATTTCCCTTCGGGGATGAATAAAGTAACCTGTCTCTCTATCTAAATGAACTGAGCAAAGTCAGAATATCTCCCTGAGCGGTGAAGCTGTGTACTTCCTCCGCCTGAAGAATCTCTGAGTGAACAGTCTGTGGCTCTTCAGCTGGATTCACCTGTTTGACAACATGATCTCATGCTGTTCTGCCTCGAATCAGATTCACCTTCACCTGTTGGCACTGATTCATGGTCTGAGTCAACACAACAGGAAAAATAAACTGTGAACTTGAATTGTTCTCCTGTTTGTTTGATGCGTCGCTCGATGTTCAGAAAGCTGCACTTTATTATTTTATTATAAATGTGTTCTGCTCTGTTTGTAGAGCTCAGGTGAGCAAAGGTCCCCCGAACCCCATCAGGACAGACTGTGTACTGCAGGTACGCTCCTTCCTACTTGAGTAAAATCCATTGATTTAAGTATTTATATTGCATTTCATGTTATGTTGTGTGGTCATGTTTGTGCTGCATGACATAGATCAGGCTTTTTATTTCTCTGTGATTTAATGAGCTGCATTTTGAAACTGTCTCTGTTCAGTCTCATCTACAGATTCTGCTGAAAACAAGTCCCACGCTGCTCGACTCCACATTCGACTCAGTAAGTTTTCCACAGATGATGTGTTTCAGTGACACAGCTGCTTCAACGAAGCATCAAACTGTTTCACTGTCTGATAAAAGCGTGTTCTCGCTCTGAATGTCGTGGTCTCGTGTGAACTCATAAAACTGGCAGCAGTCGCTTGAGATTTCACAACCAGCGAGGGTGAATCATCATCACATGGACGTTCCTGTAGAAATCTGCATGACATGAAAGAACTGTGATGATTTACTGCAGATGACGATCACACTGCACCACTCACACATGAGAAGACCTGTGAGACGACTGCATCCGTACCGCTGTCACCAGATTATACACATTCAGCCACCAGGGGGCGATGGAGACGTCATCGTCAGTTGTTCGGTTGAAGCATGAAGCATCGAACATGTGAATGATTCTCTGTTTCTTCTGCGTCCTGCAGGGTCTGTATCTGAAGACAGCCGGACTGACGAGCAGCGCATCAAGTGGGACCTGCACTTTTCCTCAGATTTTAAATACGACGAGGAGAAACGAGCCGTTGTGATTCCTAAGAGCGCCGTGTATTTCCTCTACATCAGGGTTTCCTTGATTTGTCCCAACATTAACAATACTGCATCGTTCAACAAGTTCATCATGCACCTGTCGTCCTGGAGCAAAGATTACATGAAGAACCCCGAGGTCTTGGACAGGTTCCGGGACGGGATCAGTTGTTCTCGGGAGGACTTCAGGAACGTGTTCGTGGGGGATCTGTTCGACCTGTCGGAGGGGGATCACGTGAGCGTGTTGATTAAATCTGGATACGAACTGATCGAAAAATTCACTTTCGGGGCGTATCTTGTGTAGAGGGTGTCTGTTCATTGGTTCAGGCTTTACGATGAATGTTTTTAAATGCTTTTTATTTTTTAAATACCTTTTGGTTATTTATCACCACTCATTGATAAGCTCCGATGCTTTACATTAACTCAAGGCTTAAAAATGACTGTGTTCAGGTTTGAACAGAACAATTGATGTTAAAGGTTCAGTGTGTAGAATTTAGTGACATCCAGAAGAGAAGTTGCAGCTTTAAAAGTATTTAAATATAAAGATCCATTCTATGGTAAAGAAAACTACAATTCATACAATTTAGATGAAACACACCAGTGAAAACATTATTTTATATTCTACTTCAGTCACCTGAACCTTACACACTGGAGCTTTAACTAAAGTCTGTTCACATCCAGAGACAAACTTGTGTTTATCAGAGTTTAACCTTAACTCTGATCATTAATTCT